GGAATCATCCTTGCCAACGCCGATGTTGGTTGGCGCCCAGTTACCGGCCGAGTCAGGGAATTCGGAGCTATCCCACGTACAGGCCTGCTCAACCGAAACGCCCTCGTTGTTGGCGTAGTACTGCGCAGTGGTGGGCTTCCCCTGCCACTTGTAGTACGACGAAGACACGGGGTTGGCCAGGGGATACGTGTTTCCAGGGCTGGTGTCGAGGGGAATCGTCATGGCCTCGTTTCCAGGATAGTCAGTCCGACAGATGGCAGCGTTCTTAGAAAGCTCGTTGCGGACAAAGACACCACCAGCACCAGGCTCGCAAAGCTTGGTGTGAGAAGGTCTTGTAAGCTCCAAAAATCCGTCATCGTTGCAGTAAAGACCGCCAACAGACTGACCAGTCGCACCCTGAGAATCCTCAGGCCACTGAGTCTTCTGGAAGCCTGGGGGGCATGCATACGAGCAAATGAAGCCCTTTCCGCAGCCGCCGCCCTTGGGCTGTTCAATGTTGTTGAGAGCGACACCCTTAATCAGCTTTCCGACACGCATCAGCGTTGTCCAGCCGGCGTTAGCCACCCATGGAACTGGGACGGCACCGTAATCGGTGGGGATCTGTGAGCAAGGAACCTTGCCGCTCGGGAAATCGGAGTCGACCCCGTTACCAGCAGGCGCGCTATCCGGAGCAGCGGACGACGTAGCGGACGACGAAGCCGGCGGCGGTGGCGCAGCGGATGAGGACGAGGATGGAGCGGCCGAGCTAGTCTTTTGCTCGAAGAACTGACCTCCGCTCGGGCCGCCGTCCGTCGAGGTCGAGATCACAGGCGGGGGAGCGGTGAAAGAAGGGGTTGATGTGCCTACAACAACGTAGGCACCATTGTCAATGCCCTCCTTCGCCTTCTTTTCGTCGATCTTCTCACCGCCGAGAACATACTCAACGACGGTCGGGCCCTTAACAATTTCGGTAACAACAACGGTACCGTCTCGCTTCTCGACCGGCGATTGGGCATGAGCGCTGACGTGGCGGTGGAGATGCTGGTGCTGATGATGGTTGTGAGGTTGAGCTGAGACCCCAGCGGCTAGGGCGGCCGCAATGGCAACCCCGGTGAATCCCTTCATACTGAAGATTGTAGATGTTCTGCTACGCAGTTTCCTCTGGAAAAGCCGAGAACTTTCGACGAAGCTTTTGGGTTCGTGAGCAGCAAGTTGTGTCGTGCGTTGTCTCACGGATGGTAGCTAACTACCGGAATCAGATCAATGTTTGCTCACGGCATTGGGATGGTGGCATTGGCCGGCAGCCTGGAGCCCACGCGCCCGACAGCGGAGAACAATGGTGGACGCCAAAATCTCAAGTGCTTGACCAGCTGGATCTCCGGCAGGGAGAGAGACGCGAGTACTAACAGGCGGAAGACTTGGAGCGACGCAACGTACCTGGTGATGGGATGGATATAGTTGAGGGTCGAGAGTGATCGCATTCGTGTCTAGCCGGGATGATGCTTGTTATTCGCTCTGCGTTCCAAATGAATGTGATAGAGAGCCAGAGACTCTCTGTTGGATGGAATCGGTGGTCTCGAGAAAGTGAGCGTCCGGCGAGAAGGTAAAAACGAACGGGCAACAGTTCAAGGGATGGCTGAACTGAAGAAAGAAACCGTGAAGTCTCTCGGGGTTGAGAGGGGGTGGGTTGAATGAGCGTCAGGGCAAGCGTTGGGCACGAGTCGAGGGAAAAGGAAGGAAATGAGCTTCGTCTGGGGCGTGTCTAGCTTAGTGCCAAGCGATCCAAAAGGAGGGCGGATGAGAGCCAGTCAGAAACGGCACTGGCCTGTGGGGATCCCTTTCCTTGGCGAAATTACCAAAGGCCGCGCCAGGGAAGGGCAAATTGTTGGATGGCGCGGCTGCAGGTACAGGCATCACCAGAGCAGGGATAAAGCAACGGCCACTCACACTTCGAGCTGCCCAGCACACACCCTTGCGTCAAAGATGCGATTCAACTGGAGCCAAGATGTCTCAACGGCCTTCAACATAGAGTCATCCGAGATCAACAACAAAACCACTGGCTCGTCCACAAAAAGGACGAGCCTTGAGTAATTCTTTGATATCCACCTAGCTCTACCGACAGTTAGCGTCCAGCTGAGCCAAGTGAAGCCAGTTTTATTCAGGGCCGTCGGCACTAGGAGTGTGTGTGTATGCCGGTCCTGTCGTTTTGCCTAGCTTGGGTTGGCAGGTTGCAGTCGGCTCTGGGTGCCAAGATCAACAACAATCCTCAGACTTTGTTTTCACGACTCGGGCCAGGATGGTCCAGGCTTGACGCGGCAGCCGGTGTAGTCGACGCATGGTGTGCTTCTATACTCTTTCTTCCTTCCCTAGGAAACCGTGACACTTGGATATTCTCAATTCAGTCGCTTCTAGTATGTTGTGGCCGCCCGCTGGGCGGCCTTTTCCCGACCACGACCGCTATTCAATCGCTTTGATGCCCCACGGCCTTGACCCGTTGGAAGCGCCGACCCCGCTGGGGACCACACCATAAGGTGCTTAATCCCTATCTCGCATCGCCCCACCGCAGAGAGCTGCAGCCACTCAAAACGCTCGAGTGCCATAGCCTGCACACCGGTGCCTGACTAGACCTTCTTAGGTCTGGCTATAATTAAGACCAAAACCGCTCTCCAGTTTCCTGCACCTCACTGATGACCGCATGATTGTGGGCAGGAGTTCGTCATCCCCCTCCAAATTGTCTTTTTTTGTCCGACTCGAATTTGCTCCCCGTTGAGATTCTGACACGCCACGATCACCCAGCAGGTACTCCGTACCCGTTCAGCCCGGCAGTACCAGCCGACACCCCAAGGTCGATCATCGGCATGTTGTCCGTTTCCATGATTTGTTTCACCGCGGCGCCCGGTTCGGTGCGGTAGCGCCCTATCCTCCCTAACAGTGCTCGGTCCTGACAATCATCGACGCAGGCCCCGACTTTTGCGACTGTCATTGCGCGGCAGCCTCTCGGCGAAATGAGTGCAACTCTGGTTTGCGAGTCAAAGTTGACATCGTAGCCGCTGATCTTCCATCCCAAGGGGACGTCGAAGCTTACATGTTACACGTTGTGGCATTCTGCCTGAACTTGAGGTGGGCAGTAGGGAGATTACCTCCCTGTTTCCTTCAATCTGTTGTTAGATGTCAAATCCCCTCATTGGGCGCAATCCTCCCGTCCAGTCGACAGCCGGAAATTCGACCTCATTTTGGCATGATTTGGCAAAGAAGGTGCTATTGAGCAATCGGTGTTTTGAGGCAGAAATCGTCCTCATTTCCGCAGCAACTTCATAAGGGACGCTATAATATTCACTCGCAGCGAACCTCAGGCACATTCCGGCATCTTGGAAGCATTTCCCCGCCACACTGTCTACCCTTTGCGCTTTTCCCAAAGAGGCACGCCTTCATAAACGAGCTGTCAACGCATGTGTATTATTTCAGTCCTTGCTTTTCTTCCATCTTTTCTCTCAACACTTTATTCCATACACTACAAAGTCGCCTATTTCCTACTGTTATTACCAGGACCCAATCCTTATCCATGACTCGAGGAAGAACAAGTTGTAGCTCATGTGTAGAGCTGTGTTGCCGGTATGGATCACTCAGCTAAAGCACCCCGTCGCATGTTCTATTTGCGTTTTGCTCAACTTCGGCCTTTCCTGTTCTCTTTTGTGCAGGGAGACTAATTGATACTCATGCTGGTGTGCAAGCCAAAATCGAAGGAACACGTGCGTCTGAGCTATCACTTCAACCATCCCCGTGGCTCCAATCTCGGCCAGCTGCGAGTGTACGTATAAGGACAGAACCTTCACAAGCTTATTCCCAACAATCCAGTCCCGTTATAGGAGCTCTGGCAAGGCTGTGAGGAACGTACCGGTAGTTTTCGCGCTCCCAGAAAGATGATCAAGGGCTCGTGAGTCACAGGTTACAGCCTCCATGTGTTGCGTGACCCTATCGTCCACGAGAGCATGCTCTTTTGAAGCTTGTGCAACTTACACTCTCCCCGCTCACCGACCTTTATGTCGAATAAATATCCCATAGAAGGTGTTTGAGCCAACCATGTCAAACGGTCGCCTTTGCGCCATCTCCTTGCCTGTTGTAAAAGCCAACATGTCACGGACACAGCATCATTAGGATGCTCCTGAAAACCACCGTCACAGCCGATCATGCTGTACTGGGTGTTCTAAGCAGCCAACCCTCACAATATTACATAGCCCAGGTGAAACTATCATGGTTAGCAAGTTGTTACCACCATCTGTTCATCGCTCATTCCAGGAATATATGTACACAGCCAGGAATACCGTAATAAGGAAACCCCGTGTTCATCACAGCCCCTCTGTCCCTACAATATATTCACTTGGTGACTTCGCTTCGTTCAATCAGATAGTTTCGAGCAGTATCCGGTAATCTTCTTTTTTTTCTTCCTTCCCCTCAGTGCACGTGTGATAGTAGCTAACAGCTCAGGGTGAAGCAGGACGCGACATCTATCTATTGAGGGCAGAAATCAGATCCATGACCTGGAGATTGCAACTTCGGCCAAGTCTCCCTCGTTCTAGCGCTAGCAGACGGCACTTTCCCGTTAGTTTATGCCGCGGCCAAGAAACACATTTCCCCCCAATAGCTACAAGGCTTCAAACCGTGCATGAAAGGTAAACAACCAATCTTGTGTAGTTTTCTCTCTCCCTTTCCTTCCTCGATATATGAGTCTAAAGCGGGTGTATGAGTTGAGTGAGGTGGCCTTGACTCAACGTCATATCCAATAAAACCCCTTTGTGCGAGCTAATTTGTCACCGTGCAGCGAAGCAAAATAAGTATAACTTGCTGATATAGCTGGCCTTGCGGGCGACGGATCCACTAGGTTCTTGGTCCGGCGCTGAGGATCGAACCGCGGTACTACAAATGACTACCTTGCTATCTTGATTCATCCTGCCCACTGGCCCATAGCCCCCTCATTGAGGAGAGTGATGGGCAGGGAAGGACAAAGATCTATTCGAATCCGTTTCCGGTACCGGAAATCGAACCCGGGCTTCCCGGTGCTTGTCGATCCACGATGAAAGCGAGATATGTTAACCCCTACACTATACCGGATGGTTTTTGAAAGCTGAGTGTGAAAACTGGGTTGGATAGTGGCTGGTCCTGTTCTTCATGTGGATATTGAGAGTTAGCTAGGTTGTGTCTCCAGTAAAAAACAGGTGTGGCAGGCGACTATGTATACTGAGCTGTTAGTTGCTGGGATGGAACTTGCTGCGCTCTTGCTGCGCATATCTTTCCTTGGAGTACCTGTTTTCTTTTACTCCACTAGGTGGGTTGTAGGTAGTTTTTGGGGTCGAGCGGTGACAGGGAGGTTCAGGGTTGGGTCCTCAAGCACGACAGGGAGGAGAGGGCCTCGGTCTCGTTTACTGTCCTCTAACTACAGATATTTGTCGAATGTTCAAGTAATTTAGCAGTGCCATGGTGATCGGCCGTGAGTTGACAAGTCGATACGTGAGGTGGTGATAAGCCGGCATCTTCGACGACTCCTTGCCTTGTGTGGGGCGCATAGAAAACTTGGAAGCTTGACACAACTCCGTTCCGTTTTGTAAATACCGCACGCGTTGGTATTGCATGGCTGGCTCAACTCAGGCGGCTCCGAGGACGACCATCACGACTGTCTTATATCACGGCTTGGTGAGACAGCTTTCAAGTTTTATTTATATATAGCTGCCTATGCATTCTCCTGACTTACACAACGCTCATAGTTGTATGATGCGTTTCCCGGAATAATACCGTGACTAGTTGCGGCTTCGCGCAAGAGTCGCCAGCGTGACCCGATTCAAAGAACAGATACCAAAATGAAAACGTCCAAGGGGAGACGATGAACGCAGCAGTACCTCCTGTGGACAATTGGCTCGTTCTGGGGGATGTGGAACTGTTGGCGTTTTCATCACAGGGGCACGGGCTGTGTTGCATGTTAGATGCCCTGCCACGAAGGACCCGATATGCGAATAACCGACTTCAGCATGGGAAGCGGAGTCTAGGCATTGCTGAAAGTCCAGGTAGAAAAGCACTCGAAAACCAGTTACCAGGTCCCAAGCAAGCACATGCGTGCTTTCAAGTGTGTGGTGACTGGTGGTTCGAGGATCCCGAGCCGGCTTATGGTCTCAACGCCTCGGAAGGGCGAAGATCTTCAATGCGAAGCTGCCGGTGCGGGAGGCTCAATGGGCAGGCCACCGACATTTGGACGGGTTTCCAAAAATGCTAACTGTCTCCATCGCTTTTCCTCTTTCGTTGACGCTGAAGAGGGAAACAGAAACTGAGGGACATGGGAGTGAGGCAGCCGCGCGAGAACGGGCGGCCCCAAAGTGGGAGAAGGTCAACAACGGGCTGGCACGGATGAGAATGGACGACGAACAATCCGAAGGGGCGATGCGCCACCGCTTGCTAAGGAGGTACATGGAGAGTCTGAAGAGCCTCCGACCCAATTGAGCTGAGTCTCCCAACTCCAGGTTCCCCGCCAACGATCACGGTTTGATTCGGCAACACAGCCACCTTGGGGCACATTTTGCTGACATCGATCCCACCTCTCACGGTGCGGAATCGATATCGTTCCGGGGCCTGAGTGGGCAAACACCGCTAACATTGAGCACTTTCTCTTCCGAGTGCAGCATGCTTCAATGCGCGTCGTAATTGATGGAGTAGAATGAGGAAGATGAGTAGCAGCATTTATCGCAAACTCGACGCCTCCTCCCACTGCCGGACGGACTGCGTTGATTGAGCCTGATATGGCCAAGTCGCCTGGTGATTACCTGTTATTTATCCCTGAACATACTGCCAAAACCGGGAAACATTTGTGGTGCGAGACGTGTGTGTGTGAGAGAGAGCTCTGACCGAGCACGGGCATTTCATGGATCGCGGCGCAAACAGGCAACCCGAGCCAGAAGCCAGGAGTGCCAGGCTGGGAGAGAATACTGAGGAGCTCCTTGCCGTGGGGTTTGCTGGACGCCGCACCGGGCAAAAGCGAAGCTGTGGAACGTGACAGTGAAAACCACCTCAGGCTGCCAAAGTTGTTGAATCTGTCGAACTTGGTGATGACGAGAAAGTTTTGGCTCAGAAAATTGATTGATTGACCACTATCCGGAGCTATCGAAGCTATTGAGGCCATCGAAGCCGTCAAGTTTATGGAAGCCTTTGGGAGTTGCTGCGGTGAATGATGAGCAGGCGGTCTTGAGTGTTTCGGGGGGCCAGTGGGTAGCACTGGTAGGTGATGATGAGTGAGCAGCTGCGACTGTGTGAGACGTGCTGATCAGCCTCCGAAGCTCCCACGGGTTACGACCCACCTGCAGTGAGCGGACACAGGTGAACTCTGATCGAGTGGCTTGAGGAGGGGGCGGATGAGAGGCTGGCGTGACAGGGGCTCGTAAGTACCCCCTAACAGGCGTCAGCTCCTCAGGCGTTTCGACAGCGCCTGCGGGCTTTTCCATGTTCCCACCTGCGTCTGCGATCCGTGTGAGCCGTGCCAGCTGGGAGGTTGCACTACCACACACCTCCAATCGTGCAGTGTGCAGTCCTCCAGTCCTCCAGTCCTCCAGTCCTCCAGTCCTCCAGTCCAGCCAGACAGCCCCAGCCCCAGCCCATTTTTCTTTTCCCACTATTCCCCATCGCCGCAGGCTCCGAGCATCCTTCCCAACCCTCACACCTTGAGGCTCTTCAACTCCAAGTCACACACCGGGTCCCAGTCGCGCTTCTCACAATTGATGCCGTGTGCCATTTCTTTTCCACAATTAGAGGCCCTTGGGACCAACTAGAAGGTTGCTGGAGAGTGCCATAATTTTACTTTTTACTTTTTCCCTGTCGCGAAGCCCCATCACCTGGCTCCTGCGCTGCCGTCTGCCATCCGCCATCTGCCCGCCCGATTGACAGAGCTCTCGCCACGATCATCAGCCACACCATCAACGCCTCTACCAGCTCACCACCTGGCGATGCGTCGCGGACCGCCGTGACCCTGTGAGCGCGACCGCAAGTAGACGCATCTTTGTGTGAACGCGGAGCTTTTGCTGCCGCTGTCTAGTCGTCTAATCGACCGTGTCGAAGCTGTAGGTGCCTCATGGCCTCGGACAACGGACCCACTGCGACAGAAGCTGCCTTCGTGACGCCTGCACCACACGCCGCACCAGGCACCCACGACGCCGCCTTCGCAGTCGCAGTCGCAGCCGACCTTTCGAGATCCAAGTCGCTCAAGAGAGTGCGAGAGACGACGCCGACCCCATCGCCCGCCCCGCCTCTCGTCGACGACGACCTGTCTCCGGCCAAGATCGCTCGTCTCGTCGGCTTTGCCCAACAGTCGCATCTGCCGCTGACTGGTGCGGCTGTCCTTGAGAACAAGAGACGGCGCATCAGAGACGACCCGAGACAATCCCCGCCGGGTACCAGCCCCAATCCGACGCACAAAGCACTCGGCGACCTCGCATCTGCCACCGACGCTGCCATGAGCCGCCCCCAGGACACGCGTTCCGCCTCCGGACCATCGGTGGCCGTGGAGGCCGCCGCGGCTGCGGCCGCCAGAGCCTTCGGCACTGTTCACATCCCAGCCGACCCTTCCGCTGAGCTCCACCACGGTAGCCCTCAAAGCGCCGTGAGTGCCGGAACCGGGGCAAGTCTTGAAGATGGAGAAGGTCAAGTTGTCCACAGTCCAGGCCAGATGGATGTCGATCGCAACGACCAGCGCATGTATGCGCCGCAGCCAGAAGCACAGATGGAGGACAAGTCTTCTCTTTCATATCCGGGGGTCATAGGGGCTACCATGCCGGCACCCGCCCCGCCTCAAAGGGGCATGAGCATGCCCATGCCCAGCTCCCAAAACTCAGCCCTCGCACCACAGTCGCCTAACTCTAAGAAACACAAGTGCCAATACTGCGAGACGGAGTTTACTAGACATCACAATCTCAAGAGCCACTTGCTCACACACAGTCAGGAGAAGCCTTACATCTGCCAGGAGTGCAACATGCGGTTTAGGCGCCTCCACGACCTCAAGCGCCACAGCAAGCTACACACAGGAGAGAAGCCGCACATTTGCCCCAAGTGTGACAGGAAGTTTGCGCGTGGCGACGCCCTGGCGCGTCATAGCAAAGGGGCTGGTGGCTGCGCCGGGAGAAGACCGAGCATGGGCAGCTTTGCTGGCGACGAAGATTACGAAGGAAACAGCGCCGACGCCGACGACTCGGCTATGACAGGCGTCCTCTACGGCGGGAGTCCCGAGGTTATAACCGAGGATGAGCGGCGGCGTCTCAGCGCACCAAGTATCAAGGCGCAACATGTTGTCGGCCAGCCGGGACAAGACGGCTTCGCCGTTCACTCTAATACGTATCCTCCAACTAGCGCCAGGTCAGCTGGTGGGTTGTACCCGCCAAATGTTGACCGCGGATCCACGGGCTCGGCAACGTCACCGAGCGTGCCGAATCACACGCCGCACACGAGTATATCGTCACAGTCGATGCCGCTTAGCGCAGGCAGCTCGTCGATGTACTCGCAGAGCGGGATGACAGAAAGCCCCAAACCGCTCAGCCCTTCGGGCGCGCAGACCAACCAGGCTGGCCAGAAGCGTGGGGCGCTCAATCAACAACAACAACAACAACAACCAGCCTCTATGTTGTCTCTGCCTACGCATGGTATGTCACCTGCGGCCAAGCAAGCCTGGCTCTCCCAATATCCCCCTGCTGACGGAAACTATCCTGAAGGCAATGCTGCCGCCCCCTCTCCATCCGGCCGCGGCCGCGGTCGTGGTTCGAGCGGAGCCGCTGCACAGCGGCAGGTCAGCAACGGCACCGGGCCTAGCGAGAACAACATCTTCTCTGGCGCTGATCAGGGCTTGTTGAACTACATCAACTCACTGAGCACCGAGGTCACGAAACTGAAGGCCGACGCAGACGCGAGAAAGAAGACAGAAGCGGAGCTGGTGGAAAAGGTGACGGCACACGAACAGCATATCTCGCTGCTAGCGTCCGAACTGGCGTCGTTGCGGCAACAACTACCCGGGGCAAATGAAGAGGTGGCGGGCCAGGAGTAGAGTTACTAGGCCCGCGCTTCCAATGAACGGCCACGGCGCGATGACC